TGCAGAGAGGCGCTGATTTTTTAAAGTAAGTTAGTAGCGGTTGCATCTGTCGAGTTAATCGTTTTGCAGAGAGATTTGTTGATCGTACTAGTGGGTGTCCATATTGGAGCACCATATAATAAAATGGGCTTGATGAGAGAGTCGAACAGTGTAAGGAGTGCTTTAAAAGATAACTTTGAACGCATGACAACCCTTTTCAGGCCAAAAAATGCACGCATTGCTTTGGTTTTAAGGTTTTGTTGAGCGATCTGCACTTGACCCGATTGATGAGCCGACCTTATTACGTAAATGTGGCACTGTGACACTTGTGGCACTATCATGTGGCACTTGCGGCACTCACATGTGGCACTTGCGACACTAACATATGTAACATGTGGCACTTGCGGCACTCACATGTGGCACTTGCGACACTAACATATGTAACATGTGGCACTTGCGGCACTCACATGTGGCACTTGCGACACTAACATATGTAACATGTGGCACTTGCGGCACTCACATGTGGCACTTGCGACACTAACATATGTAACATGTGGCACTTGCGGCACTCACATGTGGCACTTGCGACACTAACATATGTAACATGTGGCACTTGTGGCACTATCATGTGGCACTTGCGGCACTTACATGTGGCACTTGCGGCACTAACATATGAAACATGTGGCACTCGCATGTGGCACCCGCGGCACTAACATATGTATGTAACATGTGGCACTTAATGCGGCACTTGAATGTGTTGTGGCACAATTATAATATGTAATACTAGTGTAACTCGAACCCGTGCCTACGGCCGGGACGTCAGTAATGTAGACGAAATACAAAAGTATAAACCCGCCTTTTATTATATTCGAAAACAGGCATTACATTTCACTTTCAGTAATCAAACCAATGCGAAAGTATAAAGTCACTTATTAAATCAAGAGAAACAACTGCGATTTGATTCTGAGTACCCCTTGTCCCTTACGTACCTAGTAGTAATACTTGATAGGCAATCTTGATCCAAAATACCTAATTATATAGCAAATCTGTTATGGGGGAAAAGAGCGAGATTTGAGAGGGAGAGTACGCGGATAAAAAAAATGATCAATTTAAAAATCCTTAATCATTTGGTTTTCTCAGAGTTCTGTCGAAATTATACCGAAAAAACCGATCGAATTACTCTTACCGTTTTCTTGATTAAGCCTCTCGGAAATTACACGGAACGAACACATATCATGAGATTATTACTATTAGTATTATATATGTGCCACTGCAGTATGCGGGACTTGCGACACTATCATACATTATGTGATACAGGGGGGCCAAAAGTCAGTACCCATACGTAGGCTCTTATTATACCAGCGCCGTGTTTTGTAATTGAGCGTTGTTGCTTTGCAGATGGCATACTGTACCTACTTGTTCAAGGATTCCTTCAACAAAATGTAAAAACTCGATTTTTGGGGCCACACCCAATCAAAATCGAATTGCTTATACTGGTGTTGGTGAACATGTTAGAGACTCCATTGCTTGTAACATATTGCAATAGGTTATTTAATCCGGAATATAATCTGAAAGATGGTGCAAAACGGATTTAAAATAACAAAGTTATCAAGCAATTTGTTTATCTCGTTAGCAAAATTAATTAATTATTTAATTAGTTATCTCGTTATCAAAATTAATTGGGTACTTAATGATTATCCAATTTCGGCACCGTAATTGGGCTCTGCACGATTCCTGTAATGCGGGGAGGCCGACAAAGGGGGGCCCTCCATTATTAGGGGTCAGATCATATGACGTATAATTAGTGATGTGACGTATAATTAGTGATGTGATCCACCAGTAGAATTTAATTGACCCAGAAATGAGCTAGATATAGGGTAGAGTTCACATGTCAATTCTGTAAATCATAGCTGTACATTAAGAAGTAATGCGGATCTAGCCTCAACCCAATCACCTGATCACATTTAATGTACAAACTTCATATCTCGGAGAAGCTAGAACTTTCATTTTTCAGGAAAAACGTAATTCCCCCCACCTGTATAATATTGAATAAGTGCCACTTTAAGATTTAGAATTTGAGTGAGACGTTCGTAACATTATTATTTTGCACTGTACTATACTCTTTGTAGTATGTACTAGGTATACCCTAAACTGGTGTTAAAATTATTAAATTATGCAATGAGATTATCTTAGCTTAGCTTATATGGCTTATTATAGTGTGGGAATAGTTTGAGATACTTTTATAGAAATTATGAACTTATTACACAAATGAAACAGTATCTAAGGAGAAACAAAATGTAATCTGCTGACACAATTTCACCCAACAATTGTAATAATTTGCTTTAAAAATGTGCTTTAACAATTTTCTTAAACAAAATTTGTTTAATTCATCTAAACATATGAACTTGTTCCGAAACGTTTACATCTGATTTTATCACTCACTTTTACCACTATAGACACAAAGAATTTTAATTTGAAGAACATAGTATTTATAAATACAAACTACAAACGTTGCGGAAGTTAAATAGACAAAATCGGTCACTCGTTTGACTAGCAAAAGGCTATTTAGTTTTATGTGAAAAGGCACATAAGACAGCACTTCAATTTAAACTAAGACAAAACCATGCCACCAAAGGAACTATTCATTTTTTAAAAACATTAAAGACCCTGACTTAAGGGGGGGGGCCAATGGATATTTTTTTGTGAAACTTGATTTCGAGATAGCAGTTGACCAACACACTAAGACCAGTGACCGAACTTTTGAGGGGGTCCCGGACCCCAACCGCCAAACGGTGCCCGCGGGGCAGCCACGCCCATATTTGGTCCAAATTAGGCCCAATTTAGCCAAATACTCTGAACATGCCCAAAACCCAAATTTTAGGTGCTCTACTTGTAGCTAGTGGTCTCCTGAACTCGTATATGAAATTTCATCAAGATTGGACAAAAAATGACTGAGTTATGAGCCAAAAACCATATGCCCATATTTGGGCATACGCACCAAATTTGGTAGATTTCGTCCCATAAATTGGTCAAATATCAATATTTTTCACTGAAACTTACTTTATATGAAAGGTAAGCCTAAACTACATATTCTCTGTAAGTTATAGCTTTATATCTGTTTAAATGTGGATACTAAGGCGAAAAGACCACAAAAAATGAACTAAATTGCCCATATCTTGGTTCGCGATATTCGCGGAATTGATCTCATTAAAATTGTAACAACTCAATCAGTTTTCAGAATTTGTCCATGAAATTTTCGGAATCGACTCGAAATCGCATTTCCACCTTAGTTTGAGAACAGATTTTTGATTTAGGCCTCCAAAAAAATTTGGCGGCCAAATTCCAAAATTTTCCCGGAGAAATTCAGAATTTGGCCGCCAAATTTTTTTTGAGGCCTTAATCAAAAATCTGTTCTCAAACTAAGGTGGAAATGCGATTTCGAGTCGATTCCGAAAATTTCATGGAAAAATTTTGAAAACTGATTGAGTTGTTACAATTTTAATGAGATCAATTCCGCGAATATCGCGAACCAAGATATGGGCAATTTAGTTCATTTTTTGTGGTCTTTTCGCCTTAGTATCCACATTTAAACAGATATAAAGCTATAACTTACAGAGAATATGTAGTTTAGGCTTACCTTTCATATAAAGTAAGTTTCAGTGAAAAATATTGATATTTGACCAATTTATGGGACGAAATCTACCAAATTTGGTGCGTATGCCCAAATATGGGCATATGGTTTTTGGCTCATAACTCAGTCATTTTTTGTCCAATCTTGATGAAATTTCATATACGAGTTCAGGAGACCACTAGCTACAAGTAGAGCACCTAAAATTTGGGTTTTGGGCATGTTCAGAGTATTTGGCTAAATTGGGCCTAATTTGGACCAAATATGGGCGTGGCTGCCCCGCGGGCACCGTTTGGCGGTTGGGGTCCGGGACCCCCTCAAAAGTTCGGTCACTGGTCTTAGTTTGTTGGTCAACTGCTATCTCGAAATCAAGTTTCACAAAAAAATATCCATTGGCCCCCCCCCTTAAACTATAGCAATGATTTCCTTAAAGATGGTAATGGCACTTTTATTTAAGCAGCACACCTGAAGATCAACGTAGACTTTGAAATAGATCTGATTTTGATACAACGTTTTTACCTTAAGAAATTCTAGTCCTACTCAACCTTATCCAAAACTTTTGAACTTTGAAACCGTATTAACTCTTGGGATCCTTTTGGCATGCCTCACTTATTTGAAATTAAATCCTTAAATTATTCCATAAATCTTTGAACAATGTTGTAATAATGATTATTGAGTTATACAATTACAAAAACTACACCTCAATTAGCAGGTATACCAGCATCTATCATACTTAGAAGTTGTCCTAGAAGTGTAAACGATATTTATTCGTGATTGCAAGAGTTTGACACCAGAACCAAAGTGCCACATAGTGTCACATTAGAGTGCCACATTATTTCAGAGTATCACACTTTTTTTTCAGAGTGTCGCAAAAGTACTTTTTCGAGTGTCGCAAGTTTATGTGGCACTAATGTGGTGTAAGGGTGCTCTCCCGGACCCGCAACCAGGAGGTAGGGAGTTCGAAGCTTACTCTCGCAAAAACTAATATTATAACAGCTGGTGTATCAAGGATCATAATAGCAAGAAATTTTATCTAGGAAATAAGATACACTCATTTTGTAAACCGTGCAAATTTTCTGCAAACTCTAATGTACCATGTTGACTACTGCCTCAACATCGTCAGTCAAACTAAAGCCAGGACCGTCCAGGCGTCCATGCGCTGCGCGCATTACGCGCAATCCGGAATTTGAATACGATAAGACTCTTTATATAGCAATACGGAGTTACCGAACGCGCGTTACATTACCACGTTTAATGTTCTTTCTGTAGTATAATTTGATGTCCTAAAAGAAATATAAGTTGAATATGAAAAGAGGGCTAATTCTTTAACAAATTAGTAATAATTAGGTTTATCCATAATAAATTGTTCTTATAAGCCCGGACTATATTATCCTCAAATACCATACATATTAGCAACATTTTTCCTAACTTGAATTAAGACAATGTCTAATGTAATTTTTCTGATTTCGGCTATCCTAGCTGCAACCCATATCCCCATTGACGGGCTTGCTGACCGGGGCGAGTTTCTGTCGACGAGGTTAGCGTTCTTTGGTCTCATATAGGGTGCATCTGTTTCAATAAGCAGCCTTTCTAATGGAACTTTTCGGGCGACATCGGTAACATTGGTAGCTGAATTGAACGTTACCAAACCTGCAACAGTAGTGTATTAATTTATATATGATACGTTAATTTAATCCACCCCTACATCTTTAGATGGTTGCGTTTGATTAATAAACGATGACTTTAATCAATTGACCGAACACACCAAACTTGTTCGGTAGTTATAAGTTAAGATAGGAATTGATTACCACGTTATGAGACAAATTTCTGCTTACCTGTCACACCGATATACATGTTGGGGAAATGTTCCATCATTTTCTCCGCAGTTTTCCATGATCCACTGTAGCAATGGAAATGAATTTTGTGATCTTTGGGTGCTTTAGTCTGGAAATACGTGTACATGACAGTTGGAACAAATAAAATATCCAAATAAGATACAAAATAACGGAAAACTGATGATCTATTAAGGTAAAAATCATAACTATCTATATCAATTACCAGTAAAAGACAAAAACCATTCTTTATCCCCCTTTTCTAGTAGTTGGCGACCCTTATATAAATGGTTATCGAAGTTTTCAAAGGCAAATTTTTTAAGAATTCATATGAATACTTTGTAGTACTTAAATCTTTTTGATAATAAGGTTTTTCAAGAAATTAACTCCGATCATTCTATATGAAGGTCGCAAAGCGCTTGTTTCGGTAGCAGGGGTAGTCACCAGGACGCCAGATTGACATTTCGCTTACATTTTGAAGAGTTATTCAGAGTTCGAAAATCTGTGATAAAACCGGCAAATGAAATCATTTCAGGTAAGTGCTAAAACGTGTTCCAATTATTTGGTTAAACTGTAATGTAGTGTAGTGTAGAGTTAGCCTGAAGTGAGGAGTGCTAATCACGATGTCCGTCAAAGTAATTTAATGTATTGTCGGTGTACACTGGGCAGTAATTATCGACCATTTCGCACGTGCATGCGCGCGTTCCCGCCAGCGTAACTAAGCAACCTCATATACTTCCCAGCAACATACATTCAAATTTAATCATTATACACACATCAGCTCGATATTAACTGCTCAGCATATAGATGTGGCGGTTTGTGATGTTGGACATATTACACATCTGTGTATATTATGGCGGGAAATCGTCAAGAAAGGAAGCTCATCAATGGAGAAACGTGGCTGAATTCTCAGGATGGTGAATTTATGCATTACGTGATTTATCAAAGATTAACTAGTAAATCTATGATTACAAGCGAGGGTGAAATGGCAAGAAAATTGTCAGAAGCTGCAGTGCGCCTTATATTTATAAGAAATGAAAATGAACTGATTGAGAGTTTGAAGGGCGACGCTCATGTTTAATAAATAAGATAATACATGCAGAAGTTGTCGATTAACTATATAGATATGATTGGCGTGCAGACTAGGTAGAAAAAGCACCCCACCAGATAAAAGACCGATTTAAGTATCTCTGTCGAGATCCTGATGAGGTCTTCCTGATGAGGTCTTCACTAGCATTTATCTGAAAAGATTTTTATTGCCGATTTTTGATATCTCACTCGTATACGTAATTCTGGCGAACTGGTGACTACTTCTGCTATTGAAACAAGTGCTGTGCGACATACTATTGTCTAATAGGAATCCTAAGATAGGATGATGACAATTAGTTTCCGGGAGAGCCCTAACGGCGCCTACAAACATGAATGCTAGAAAGTCTATGAATTCTTGAAAACTTGTCCGCAAGACTCCGTTGAAGGTCGTGAGTTTTAATAACCATTAAGTAACGTCACCAACTACTAGCAACTAGTTTGGGGAGGGGAGGGGAATGATATTTACCTTCATGATTTCAAAAGCGTCCATTTCAGCCCCACGTGCGTGAATAACAAACGGTTTATTCAACTTGAGCGCCTGTTTTATCTGTGCCATAAACGCATCTTTCTGCATTTCTATAACATCAGGACTTGCTTTAGTGTAACCCTTACCGTAATCCAACCCCATCTCACCCCAAGCCACGCACTTGGGGTGGGAGGCGGCTCTTATCAGATCTCTCTCTATTTGGGGACACCACATTTTAGCATTGTGAGGATGCAGACCGAATGCGGCCCACACACCATCCTCCTTTAAAATGTCATCGTACATTTGATATTCACCCCACGCAGGAGGGTCACAGAAATTTGCAACACATCCTGAAAAGTTATTGGGAAAGTCTTTGCTCTCCACATATGACGAAAAGCTACCGTATTTCTGATCCCTTACTAACAAGTAGTCTATATGGCAGTGTGCATCAATAAATGGCACGTTTGAATCGGGGAATTGGTCGGTGTTGCACTTTGTTTTAAATGGAAATTCAGGGACCATAGCAACCAACACACCAGAGTGAGCCTTTTCTTCTTTGCCACCATCAGAGTAGTCTTCTGATTCTTTTCGCGTAACCTAGTAAGAACTGCCATTAGAATAAATATCTTCATAGAAACATTTGTTGTGAAACATTTAATATCTGAGAATTAATGTCCCGAGGATGTTTTCGGGTAATGGTACCTGTCAAGTTTACTTCATGTAGGGCCAGATGAAGAAACTGGTGCCTCCAGTTATGTCCAAAATAGTACACACCAAAGTAGTAATATCAGTGATACCCTATTGTAGACATCGCACGCACTATTCCACAGACATCAACAATTTGAAAATATTTGAATGATCACTTTATTGTGTGGGTATTTTAATTTTGATAAGTTGATTTCAATTAACCTAACCCTAGGTGTTTTCATGTCCATCTTAGTTTGAGTTTGACCCAGATAATCTCTGGATTCTTGTTAATGACGCGAATTACTCGACTCATTAAAGGGTTGCGACAACAAAAAACTTCGACAGTAACAAAAAACTCAAAACTTCAAATAGATGGACAGAAAATTGAATAGTTTGTCATAGTTTTGCGCCAACCTTTATTTTTCGTTTCATCTTATTTCTCCGTCTCTTTTTCGTTTTCCCGGTTAGTCTCCTCTCTTTGAGATGATTCTCTAGTTCAAGAGCATCCATTTCTGATCTAACAATGGTATAAATGTAGATTATAAATCTTCAATTTTATTTATAGTAGTCACCAAAAGTGATATTAGTTAATAAATGCGGCATTTTCATAAAATATACCATCTCTTATCAAACCTTGATGGGTTGAGTTCTATAAATCCAGAAACATGCAAGTCTGTAAGTTTGAGACGAGGAAAATTTTTGGTGCACTTTTGGTGCACAAAAGGAAATTTCTAAAACAATTGCCTCTTTTGTCTAAGGGCATAAGATATGTAGGTGTTTAATGTTTATGTAGGTTTACCACCAGTGACCAGATCCAACCGCACCAGGAAAAATTATGCTGTATAAATCACTTCCATATAAATTCTTAGTAAATCTGATAAAAATATCCGTTTGTTGTTTTTTTAACATAAAAGCAGGATCCAAACCAGCATTCATGTTTTCTTAACCCACAAATGACATGTGATGCTATCTCTCTATATTAAGACTTTCTATAGATACAATACCAGAGCATGTTTACTATTAACTACTTTAATATTAACTACTAAGTGGTCGACCGGAGCCGGGGAGCCCCAATATAGCCGGGACCGGGGCTGGGCACTGAGAATTGGCCGGGGCCGGGAAATCTTCCATTTTACCAAACTGTAGCCAGAAATTAAGACATGAATTTGATATGCTGGTGTAATTTATTTTATTTCAAAATTCAAATAAACTTTACATCAATGTATTACAGTTATATTCAATAAAAAAGACCACAATATCTCCTGTGAGGCAAAAACATGGAAAAAGGGAGTTAAAGTCATGAGACTCAACACTACCAGACTACAGCTGGAGTGAGAAACATTATGTAAACATCAAAGTAAAATTTATTTCTTTTTTAATGCAATCGGGAAGGATTAAATTTAAGGTGCGGCTTATTCCCGCCGACTTGAGGATTAAACCACAACTTCGTGGACTTCAACCAACCCAGGATAATCCTCAAACTCAGGTCATACCTTATTTCTAATCATTAGCTCGGAACTGAGGATAACCCTCAGCTGCAACTTTATCTGGACCTAGGGATTTAAAAGTAATTACCGCATCCAAATATGGCCCGGTTCCATAGTTTACGTTGAGATTGAAAAGTTTGATACTGCGAAAGAACCACGGTTTTTATGTTACTAGCCGTAGTCTAATTGAAGCCGTATGTTGTTTTTTCTATATTTGAACTTACTCAACGTAGACAATAAATTGTTTCAACTTTGAAATCTCATAATTATATTACCATTAAATTGTGTTTGATTTTTTTCAAAAATGTGCCAAAATCATTCATGCATGAAATCGCCGGCTGTGGCCCCGGTAAATGCATGGTTTTTGGCCGGAGCCGGGGTTAACCCCCGGCGAATTGCCAAATTTTGGCCGGGTCCGCGAAGGGCCGGGGGTTGTGATTTTTGGCGGGGCCCTGGTCGACCACTGTAACTACTTAATAGTCCAAGTCGCCCATTACTCATATATTCCTGAATAATGGAATAATTCTAATATCATTATCAAATTATTATTATAGTTTTTTTAAACATGTTACATTATTTTAAGGTAAAATATACAGATAATTTTAGTAATACTATTTGTCTAGCTATAAGGTTAGACACCCTCGAAAATAAAAATAAAATTCTATGTTATTAAAATGGTGGAACTTAAACACACCCTGAGAAATTCTGAGGAAAATCTGTGAAGTACGATGCAAACGAACAATAGCACTTGACAAATAGGTCGGGAAATGCAATGACACTCCTCTAAACCACAGTCTGAGTTTCATTCTTGGTCCTAGCCTCAATGGACAGCATGCATGAGTGAGCTCTGTCCTCTTCGCCGTCGTCAAAAAGGTCAGTATTGTTCAGCGTAACCTAAAAACGAGTGATTTAATTATTATCGGTATCATGAATTAATCATTTTAATTACGGACAGCTGTAACCGTCGCTAAAAAAAAGTCGGGCAACATAATTCAGCTTAGTATTAGTAAAATAAGTTTTTAGTAACCTTTGATGTTAAGCAGTTTTTCATATTTTGTCTTCTCCTTTTTTTTCGATTTTCTCGAAAGTTCCTTTCGACATAACTTTGTTCATTATCCTAGCAGTAGAGACAGATGATCAGTAAAACGCCAATTTACAGAAATATAATGATCTAACCTATTCTCTAAAAAGTACTTAATTGTGCTTATATCGACACGAGGAAATATATGATATTCTATTAAATGGTGATATCGAGCAAGACATTTTTGACATTAAAGATTTTGACACAAGTGATTTGATATGGTATAGTATAGTATCACAGGTTGATAATATAAAATGTTGACAACATAAAATGTTATATTTATGAAACCTTCGAACCGAAATATAAAATAGTTCCTAAACCACTCATTGTCGTTCGTCAAAACAACTTTACATAAATGTTTCATTTATGAAATATGCAAACTATAGAAACAGTTGTTAAAAATTTGGTCGCCATAGAAAACTAGTCGATGTGATCGATAGAAATTGAGAAACAGCAGCCAAAGACCATCAACCATGAGTTATGATCACTTAAGCCACTGATTCTATTCGTTTAATTGTTTTACAAACACAATTAGTTGCAGAATTAGTCACAATTTTTTAATTTTGATTGTCAGCTAGGCAAACATCTTTAAGCAGGGGAACAGTGCTGAGATTTATTGTAATAGATTTTGAGGGAGCAAGATCCAGAACCATATTTTCTGCAAAACTGTTCCAGATCTGTGACCTAACGTTATTGACATCTACCAGATTATTGTTGATATCTGCTGTGTTCAACATTTTTCCTTTAACGAGACACCAGGCATGGAAGAGTGAGTATATTCCACAGTTGACAACATCTCGCTGTTGTTCAATGTTAACAATTTTCATTGCTTTTGCTTGTGGTTTTAACTGCATTATCACAGATATGAGGGCAAGGTCATAGTCTGAGTGATCTAAATATTCGGTAACTAGATCCTTCCCTCTGCTGTACAGCGAGTCAAAGACATATACATCGTCCGGATTGCTCTGGCGTATATTTGTAAAAAGAACCCAGTGATTGCTGTTGATGTTTACAATCTGAAAGAATGCTCCTCTTAGTGGCAGCATAACACCATTTTTGCGAATGAGAGGGTTTCTATTACTGATCAAACGTTTTTCGTTTTGTTCGTACACAACAACTAACATTGCGGAAAAACTGTGTATAATCAAACCATTAAGCAGTGCAGTATCCGATTTCAATATATCGGACTCCGGGGTGTACATTTCTTGTCTATGGGTAAGAGGGTCAAACTTTACCCATAAACGGGAGTTCGATGATGAACTATCGGGGACATCACTTAAATCGACAAAAGGACTGTCCGGTTTAGTGGCTCTTTTCTTTCCCTCTTTCTTGTCTGGAGGGGGTGTCGGAACACTAAACTTTTCTTGGCTTACAAGTTTGTATAAGAGCAACTGGCTGGTTTTTCGTGCGGCTTCTACAAACTCTGTCCTAGTCCTACACGACAGAGATAGACCATCAAATACTGCATACACATTGCTGTCTAGGTCATTAACGTACGTTATGTAATGACCCTGCTCTATGTGACCCAAATACGATACAAAGCTGACTAGTCTATACTCACATCGAGTTTCAGACATATTTGTTATTGGTGATGTCGCAACCAGTACCTCTTTGATTGAAGTGAAATCGGAGCTATCTACATAGGTGCCAGTATTTTTGCGCCCGATGTTCCTTATTGGTGAAGCAAACACAAAATCTGTAGCTCCACCTACTTCACACAAAAAGGATAGCTTCGTTTCAAGATGAGACTCACTGTCAGTCTGGTGTAAGTGAATGGTCGTTACAAATTCAATAGATGCTCCCAGCATGAATGGAAATATGATAACCTCTGTCATTTCGCAGACATCCTGCGGTTCACCAATGACATACTGGTTCTTCATACCTTTTGGTTTTACATCCCTCAATCGTTCCATGGCTGCTTCAGCGAAATTTGTTTGGTGTTCTTGAACATACACACCAGAATTAAGCATAACCATGAAACGTTTAGCAATGCTGGAGTAATCATCCATTGCTTGTAAAGACTCAGCAAGGATGCTGACCAAATCAGCTGATAACAACATGTAGGACAAAGAGTTTAACCAGCATAGATTGTGTCCGCTGGGATTGTCCAGTTTGACGACTTGATA